AACTCAGCTCTACAGTGAGTTAGATGTGAGGCCTCTGAAGTCAGCAGCTAGCCTTGGTCTGAATTTGGTGCCATGTGTCCCTCAGTACAAAAGATTTTTTCAGTGCTTGTGTCACACGAGTAGTTCTCATCAAAAATCACATTTACATGTACTAAACAAAAATGCCTGTCTTAGTCTTGGTCTAGGTTTAGAAAGCTACACTGTAGAAGACCTGCATTTAATCATAATCTGATTAAAAAAAAAGACCCAAACCAAAAAAAAACCATGTCAGGTAAAAAGTACTCGGAGTTATCACCATGTTTTTTAGACATATAAATGGTGAGAATCCTTGTATTAAATGAGAGGAGTATGTAGTGCTGTGTAAAATCAGGAATTATTTTCTGCAATAGTTTTTCAACCTGTAGAATACTGAACCTCAATTAAAATTTGTTTTGGCCAGGGAATATTTTGCTGTGCAGTGGCATTATATTTCATTTAAAAGCTATTCTCAGAAATTTAATTTAGTCAAAAACCCGAGAACTCAAATTCCCATTGACCTGAAGTCACTGACTAGCAATTAGGAAAGCAGGGATATCTGACCCTATATGCATTTCTTTTGTGGATGTAAAGGACAATGATAGTAAAGAATTTCTCGCTTCAATGCTGGTATTCGCTCCACCCCGTGCTCTCAGATGGGATAGAAGGAAGTTCCTAGGGATCAGAGAGAACTGGTCAGTTTGTTGTCCCTTGGTCATATACCTGCAGTTATTAAACATGTTAGACATAACAGTTACTTAGTACACTCAGAACACAGCCTAGAAGACAAATGTTTGTGTTACTAAAGCCCTGGAGAGCAAGGACCTGTTGTGCAGGACGTGCCTGGCAGAGGAGGTGGGGGTATATGTCATATTTTTAAGTACTCTGCCTGCCCTGGTCATTTGCATTTTTGTTTTAACACTTGTAGTGTTTATTTAGAATAAGATATATGTGCATGGGGGAGCTATTTGTTTAAGTTTCAGTTGGATCTTTTCTGGGGACCCCACTATAAGAGAGGGTCTAAGTGGATCCTTTTCAAAGCCCCGGTTGGTTAAGATTCCCTCCCTCCAACTCCATCAGTGCCAGCCACTGCTGTTCACACTACGTTTTAACAATTTAATATTTGTGAGACTGTCACTGCACATCAAATTCAGTACTTGCCAGTGGATTCAAAGGTTCTTGAGCTGAGGAAAGGCTGACTACTGTATAAGCAGATACGACACAAACACAAATCTAAATTTAAGGGGGGAAAAAAGAGGAAAAAGGTCTATCCAGTAGGAGGAAGTTTGTATATACACACACAATAAACACAGTCACAGTATACACACTTTCTGTACTGTTTTGTGCATTGCTTTTCCCTTCTCTTTGCTAATGAATGTAATGCTTCCAAAAGTATTTGATTAAAAATTAAAGGAAGGGAGTCCTCTGCTTCCCTGCCAAACCAGACAGATCACTGCAATGGCTGTCTCACTGGCTGTGAATATTTTGTCCTTGGTTACCATTAACATTGCTGCAGCTCTGTATGATTTGCTGATTCACTGGGTGACTGTTCCTCAGTTCCTCTGTTGGGATTTTTCTCTTACTGGTGACATAGTTGCATTTAGTCTTTGAAACACTAGGAAAAAGTCACATTTTTCCTTCTACTGACTTAGAGTCTTCCCAGATGTACAAACTGTTGTGTTATGAAGAACTTCCTCAAGAGGAAGAAATAAATGTCATAGTTCCCTTAATGTAGCGCCTCTCCTGGCAAAGAACTGACTAAAAAAATTAGTTTTCATGTTATGCAAAATATATTAAAGGTCTGATGGAAATGAAAGCTTTTCTGTTTTCTTCATTGTACTCTGGGGCAAGTCCTAGCAGCATAAATCTCACCTTCATCTTATCTTTCTAATCTGACTGATGTAATTTTTTTTTTTTGGTTTTGGCTCAGAGTTAAAAGCTGCTAAAGGACAACAGAATATTTTGGGTCAACCGGAAATTCTTGATTTCAAAGTACAGCTCCAGCTCATGAAAGAAACCTGTAAGTTTTTCTATATGTTAAAATTTAGGCTCCTAGAAACGATTTCCATAAGACAGGGCTTACATACTTTACCTTTGTCACTACTGCAAAATAGCAGAAGCACAAGATGCTCGTATCATTCATAAAACCTACCAGATGTTTTTTACATGACAGTTGTGTGTCTTATGCTATGTTTGCTTTATTTCCCCTCTAACCTAAGGAATAAGCCATGGAGTCAGCTGACACCACTGAGTCCTTTTCAAGCCAAATCTAATATATGCAGTCCCAGCAGCTATTTGTGCATAATTTTGTTTATTTTGCTTTTAAAAGGTAACTACTTTGCTTTAATTTTTCAGTTTACTTGGTGCTTTCTTTTGACATTAAATTTGGTTATTTGGTTTTTAAGCTATAAAGCATTGGTAACTATTTTTGGCAAGCATTCTCACCATGATATATGGTAAAGTCATATGGGGAACATGAATAGAAATCTATATAAAGTAACATATGCATTGAAGCAAAACCCCCAGGAACACACAGGCATGGATAAGTTTAATCCAGTGTGGCTTTCCAGTACAGAGTTGATTATATGGCATGTGTATGTATGATTTATATTTATTTTTAAAAGTATTATTTCTGAATATTCTAATATGCGGTGGTCAGGTACATATTTATTAATGTCACTCTATTAGTGACATTAAAGATTGTTGTTTGGTATGTCACATTTATATATCACATTTTACTGCAATTCAGAGCCTGAACCAGAGGTCTTTGAAGAAGAGATATTTCAATTAATTTAAATAGATTTTACACCTGACTCAGCTTTTTATTTTGTTTTATACTAGCAACTATTTTAATAGAAAACTTCATACTTCAAGTAATTGTCAACTACATTTCCTTTCCTCTGAACACTGCTTTGCCTAGAAATATCTGTGATAAAAATACATTAGGACAGTTTGTGTGCAGAGCAGCAGTTTCTCCACTTTTGTTAACCCTCATTTTCATAGCTGAAAGAACTCTCTGAGCAAGTGTAATAATGCGTAACAGGGTGTAACACAGATCTTTACACACGGCCTCACTGAAAGATATAACCATGCAGAACCCTACTATGTTCAGTTTTGCTCAGGCTAGAGTAGCTTGTTCTGTGGTCAGGCTTTTCACAACACTCCTCACACTGCTGGATTGGGCTTTTAAACTCAGTAAGAAAACACTTAAATATATATATATTAAAAATTACATTTTTATAGAATATATTTAGTACTTATAATATATAGGTTTCTATATCATATAAATAGAGTTTTTATATATATATATGTATGTATAAAGAAAACATTGTAAATCACTGTATTAGTCATATTCTGTACTCTGGTCCTCAGCTGTAACTTCTTGTTCACGTACCTGGTTATGCAACTGCCTTCAAAGAAATGTTACATATTTTATTGAGAGAGCATTCAAAAATAATTTATTTTTTTTTTAATGTCCCTGGCTCCTCCAAAGCCCAGTAAAAGGAAAGGGAATGATCAGGATGCAAGTCTTAAGAAACACAACTCCAAGAAAAGGAAAAACACAGCTGCAGAAGATGGTCACATTTTTAATGTGTGGTGGGCAATGTTGAGTTATCAGAGGTTAGGGAAAGGCTGCTTTTATGACTCCAGTAAATGTAATCTGTGACTACAAAGATCAGCTTTCCCTTTTCAGTTCGCAAACAATGACTGGAAATTATTTGAAATACATGTTCTCCCTAAAAGCATTTGTAGTAATTTGCCAAAAAAGTCTCTATTAAGATTAAATGATTTCAGTTGGAGCAGAGATCTGATTTATTACAGTAACATTTTGTAATAAACCCCCCACTACAGGAGCTGATGGTTGCCTGTCTCTGCATTCTGCAAGATTACAGGAGGCCTGTGCTCCTGGTCTCAGATGTGGCATCTCTTTGTGCTTAATTAGCCACAAGGGAGATACTCAAAGATGAAGAGTTCTGAAAATCCTTCCAGAGACAGATGATAAACAAGCCTTCTCCTGCCCCAGGTCATCTCCCCTAGGAAATTCAGCTTTGGTCTCCTGCCTCCTTCACGAGAAACCTTTACTGTAGAGGTAGGCAAGATTTTAATGGGACAGTGTCCTCAATGGCAGGTGTACCCATGTACAGAGATCGTGCCCCATCAGTATGTCAGCGTGGCGGGGGAACAACCTGGAGAGAGCATTGCCTTCTATGGAGTCTGGAAGCCCTTCCACTTCGGTGAGGACTCTAATTAAATGGGTTGAATGCCCATGGTGCCCCTGTTCCTGTCTGTCTGCCTCAATCGTGCAAACTTGTAGTTTTATCTCAATTTCTGCCCTCGGGCAAAATAATGCAATTTTTTTTCCTTGAGGAAATGGGGATCCTCCCTCAGAAAAGGGAGGTACAAATAAGAAGATGCAAGTAGTAATGTGTTTGTTCTGTGGTATCCCAGTGAACCATGTCTGCAGTCAGGTCAGTGTCCCGGGCAGAAGCTGCCTGTGCTGTGCAGCTGAGAGGGATGGCCAGTGGAGTTTACTTGCTTTATTGACCTGCTTGGACTAGGGCCCAGTGTGCACTCTTGTGTAAAGAACACCAGCACTTGAGCTTAATCCTCAGACAGCTTCAGTACCTCCTGTTCAGCTCAGGGCTGATAAACACCCTAAATCTCAGGATGGCCTTTCACTTTCTGACCGTTCCCTTTCTTTAGCTCAACACCGCTGACCTTTTGATATTTCAGCACGGCTCAGCTGTTGCTCAGGAGTCACTCTGCCTTTTTCTGCCTCAACAATTACGGGGAGCCGGGGGAAGTTTACGTTGTTGTTGTTTTAAACATTTACGTAATTTTATTTGACTGTTAAGTCTAGAAACTGCCACCGAAGAGGTGATGCCAGTGGGGTGATGCCAGTGGCTGCGAAAGGCACTACAGGTAATTAATTCGTTACGCTGTAATACGCGTGTAACGTAAGGGAACTTGCGAGGAGCAGGAAGCGCTAACGAATGTCATTTGGCCGTCCGGGGCCCGCAGACGCTCCGCAGACACTGTTTTAGAACCCGACGCGTCCCACCGCCGGCACAGACCCTCGCCAAGGCAGCGGCTGAGTACGAGGGTCCCCCCGGGCGGGCCGGGCCTGAGCCCCGCGGAGGCGGTGCCGGCGGGGGGCGGCTCCGCCCGTGGCTGCCGCCCGTCCCTCCCGCAGCGCCCCTGCGCGGCGGCGGCGGCGCGGCCGGGCCGGGGGGGCGGGAGGTGCGCGGAGCCGCCGCCCGCAGCAGCAGCCGCGGCGGCAGGAAGGGGCTGCGATGCTCCCGGCCGAGCGCCCCCCCGGAGCCGCCCCCGGGCGAGGTGAGTCAGCGCAGCCCCGCGGTGCCCCCGCAGGGGCCGGGCCGGCAGCCAGGGCCGCCCGCCGGGGCGCCGCCGCCTCCCCTGCCCGCGCTCCGCAGGCACCCACCGGCGGGCCCCGGCTCCGGCCGTGGCGCACCGAGCCGGGGGGAGCCGGGCGGCCGCCGGGCCGGGGAGACTGTGCTCCCCCGGGCTGTGCGCCGGTACCGGCGGGCCTCGTCCCCGCGGCCGCCTGGGATGCTGCCGGTGGGCCCGCGCCGCAGCCCCTCCCGGCGCTCCCTCCTGGAGGCGGTTCCTGCCGCGCCGGGGCCGGGGCCGGTCAGCTGCGCCTCGGCGGAGCCGGGCGGCCGTGCCAGCCCCGCCGGCCCTGCGCGGGGAGCGGAGCTCGGCGGGCCCCGGCCCCCGCCTCCAGGAGCTGGGCGTCAGCCCCCGCCCAGACCCCCGGCCCTCCCCGCGCAGGGTCCTGGTCCCCGGGGGTGGCCGCTGGTCGGGCCGTGTCCCGCGGGAGCTCCTGCACAGGCATCCCGCACTTCTCCCCGCCGCCAGCATCCAGGCATGGCGTTACGTGTGGCTGTCACTCGGATCCAGAGCACTTATATCCTTAAAAGACCAGCGGGTTTAGTAAGCGGGTTGTCAGTTGTTCCTCTGTTTATTGAGACAAGCGTAGGAATAGATGCTTGTTTAGGAAAACAGTGCTGAAGGTGCCATAACTGCTACGGATGCCTGCTATGTTCAAGTTTGACGGAGTTTAAAACCCACGTCTGCTCAGCAGCTCTGAAGTTTTAACAGCAGGCTTTTTTAAAATGTTGTGTTAATGAAAAGGGCAGTGTTGAGTGATGAACTTGGAGTTTAGGGGGGCGGGTAGTGGCTGTGTGACCATTACACTGAAGTATTTCGGTAAAAATTCACCCCAGACATTATTACATTATTAAGATACATTGGCTCTTGTCCATTGTAGTTAGTAATGTCCAAGGAAAGAGACTGTAAAATGCTGCTTTTCTAGCTTGACTATTTTTATTGTGTGTTTTTTTTCCCCCTGGATAGAAATAGTAGACAAAGGTGACATTTACTTTATTGTTTGCATTCTCTGAAGACCCACTGGGGAGCAGGGGAAAAGAAACCAATTCTCTCTTCAAGCATAGTGTTTGTGATAGCAGTCATAAACCCAGGGAAAATCCTGAGAAGACTTAAAAAAAACTTCAAACAGGTGAAATGAGAGCAAAAGCCGACGATGTGGGGAACCTGTGGTTGATCACTAATGTGGCTGGTGCTAGGGCAGAACTTAAACACCACCTAAAATTCATCTTAATTTTAAGCTAGAGCACAACGGGCCTGAGTTTATACGGCAGAGTGGGAAAGGGAACCGGTGACAGCCGGTGGTGGTTGGTCCCTGAGGCTGGGAATTGACAGGAAGGCCTCTCTGTTTTGCAACAGCCCACTGCTCCTGCCAGGCTTGGTGGGGCAGCTGGGTGCCTGTGCCCCTCCCCAGCGCTGGCAGCAGTGTGCTCCTGGAGTCCTGCAGCTCTGAGCACTTGCCTGGTCTGTGTTGAAGACACACTTGTTATTTACCATCGTTAATCAAGTGTAAACCTTGGCGGTGTGGGTAGTAGTTGGCAAAGTGAAAACTGGTTAAAAGAACTGGAGACTAGTGCTGACTAAAAATAAACTTGTTTAGCACGTAGAGTCTACCGGGACATCTTAATGTGCATGTAGTAAATGGAGAACAAGGTTAGAAAACAGGAATCCTAACATGTGGGTTTAATGGTTTTTCTTTAACATGAGGCTCTGATAGTGTTCTTTTCTTTAATCTTAATACTAGCACTGTTGCAGCAACTTGGCAACTTCAGACCTATCATAAAGTGCATTAAACCTATTATAAACCTGATCTTGACATACTTCAGGCATACTGTTGTCTCTCAGTGTAATTGAGTAAATGTGTCAGTGTGTAGGGGTTTTATATGCATATTGAAGAAGTGGAAAAACCTATAGACCAACACATTTAGTAAATGCATATCAGCAGCACAAAATAAAGCAATTTCAGGAGTTAAGTGCTTTAGAAGTAGGTGGTTTCACTTCATGGAAACCCTGACTATGGTGGTTAACATTACAACGCTTGTGTCTTGCTTCAAACTTGAAACAAATACATTTCCCAGCACTTAAATTAATTCACTGTGTGTGAGTTTTTCCTTATTTTATAAATTCAGAGCCAGGTGTCCATGTGGTGGCCTCTCAGGAGGAACTGTTTACCTTTAGATAACAGGGGATGATGCGGGGCAGGTGGGTAAGCCCGTGGGAGTTGGTCTGTATGGCTTGGCAGAGAACAGCCCCTCCAAGGGCTCTGCCTGCAGGTTGGCTTCCCTAGGAGAGGTTTGGGAACGTGATGCAAGAATAAATGAAGTCTGTGCACTCCACTGACATGATGTAAGTTGTTTGCATAACATTCTCCTTTTTGGAATGGACGCAGGCGACAGCACCAGGCTGCTCCTTAGGGATGAAACTTGCTTGAAAAATGGAAAACATGGTCTATTATTCATGTCTATTGCTGTGTAGGCCTGCTGGATGCAGGGCTTGGTTCTGGAGTTGCTGCATAGATACTGTAGCACAAAAGACTGATCCAAAGGTTTTGTAGCTTAGATCAATGAGACAAGTGGGGCTGAAGAGGAGGTGGTGTGCTTGAGCAATATGATGGATGCACCTGTGGCAGTTTCACCAGCTGGGGGGTGAGCGAGGTGAGCTTTCTTTGAAAGATGGATGGTTTTTAAGTCTACTTCACTAGCACAGACCTGTTCTGAATCAAACAGTAATTAGTGACTGGAAAAAAAAAGGGGGTTTTGAAGAAACATGTTTTCTATTAGCAGATTTAAAGATGTTGGTATGAGAACTCCACGTGGAATTTAATGTGTTTGCTACAAAGTCAGTTTTCTAGTCAGTGGAATTCTGGAAGGAGTGAAAAAAGATGTGTTGCCATCCTGGCTGGCTTTGATTTATCCACACAATGCAAACAGCAAGCTAGTCTGCTCCGTTCTTACAGCTACATGTTGTTTGAGAGATTAATTGATGATTCCTGTTTCAAAATTCTACTCTTGAAGTATGTTTTCCGAGACTGTATAAATATAAATTTTCTACTGTGAGTCATTTTGCTACGTATTTACTGGGTTAAGCCTCTAGATCATTGGCACTGTCTTCTGATGAGCTGTCATGGGGGTTTGTTTGTTCATTTTTTAACATTCATATACATCCAAACCTGGATTTTGATGCTCTGCTCTATGAGTCATTATTATACTTTAATTCTCAAAGCCTAGTGAATGTAATATTTACGCTGAATTAAACTTAATTTTAAAACAACAGTACTTTTCACCTCAAATCTAACTTTTTGTTGGTTTGCAAGTGAAGTTTCAATGCCTGACGCTGTAAGTGCCGTGGTATTTTCCCTGAGAGGGATTTGCTACTCCAGTCTGATCTGTTGATTGGCTTTTTTTTTTTATTTTTTCCCCTGAGATACAGTATAAAGCAGGTGTTTGGTTGGTTTTTTTCCCAAGGTTTTGAGAAGTGACTCTAAGGAGAGAGCTGAGTTTTTAGTATACTGTTATTTTTATTTCCTTATTATAATTTTCCTCTGTTTTATAAGAAACTTCTTGTAATGTCAGGTTGTCTTGAATAGATTAGCTTTTGATCCTTTCTGATCTTGAAATCCTCCTAATTATTGGGAGAGCCAGAGTAAATGAGGATCGATTTAAGAAATAAAAAAGGCAAGAATGCCAAGATGATACTTAACTAAATGCAGAATACCCATATTTGCCTCTTTTTAACTACCTGCCAAAGAGCCTCCTTGCAGTCATTAAAATGACCCCTGCATTGTCATCACTGAATTCCTTGGGACAAATTGTTTTTCCTCCGTTCCTCAGATAGTTGCTCAAAGGTACAAATCTGCAGGGAAGTTGCTGTAGCCGTTTGCAGAAGATGACTGGATAAAAAACGTGTCATAGATGTAGGGGTTTGAAAGCGGATTTTGACTTGCTGGAGGAGTAGATATAAAATCAGGTGGCAGGAATCTGTATCAGGAAACTTAGAAAAAAATCATGGGCTCTACTTACGTAAAAAAACCCCACCTTATCTGTCCAAATCTTGAAGGGAGAATAGCCTTGTGGTTAACAAGTAGGTTCTTTATATCTGAAGAGAAGCACATGCAGTTGTGCATAAAGAGGCTCAGAGCACGTGTGATCCCGCAGAATAATTCCCAGTCTGAGGGAGCTGGGTGGGCCACGAGCTTCCCGTGCAGCTGTGAGGGACGTACGGTCCCAGGCCGGTACGACGGGGCCGTGGGCTGGGGGGGAATGGGCACTTCAGGTTTCAATGAGCTCTTTTACAATTGTAGCCGTGTCAGGGGTGATGGGATGGCCAGGAAACAAGGCTCGGTTCCCTGTTCCAAGTTGTGTAGTGGTTTGGAAACGTAAACCTGTGTCAAGATAAAAGCTTGTTTGTCTGCCGCAGGACCAAAGTGCTCTCTTGTGATGTACATCTGATGTGCTGTGCGCCTGCTATGCCTCTTCCCTTTCCCTCTGCTGGGCTTTCTCAGGATCCTTGCAGAAGTTCCTTCCAATTTGCATGTTAGGGCTTTGCTGTGTGTTTGTCCACTTATCTAAGTTTGAGGAAAACAGCCTTCAAACTGTTACTCTTGTTTTTTAGAGTGATGGTATCACTCAGAAACCTCTTTGGTCTCACTTGTCACGGCTGAACTGATGGCATTCAACAGGCCTTTACCAAAGCTTTGTGCTCTCTTCAGCCTCAAGTGAGTTAAAATTCATATTCACTCTAAAATCCATTCTGTGTACTCTCTGAACCTTCCTTCCTCGCTCCTGTTCTCTGTTGTTCATTTTAAACTTGCCAATAGTGCTTGTCTTTTGCCCTCCTACCATCTCGTGGGTCAGAAAAAGTTTTTGCAAAATGAAGATACAGTATTTGAAGGCTGTGGTTAAAATAACCAGCAGATAAATAGACTTTTCTTACTCAGAAGTACGTTGTTTTTTATCTGTTTGGTTTGCTGCACATTCAGTCCCTGACTGGCAAGGGGGTTTTGTCAGTAGAAGGAAAGCCCTGTAGATACAGGGTTTTTTTGGTAGATTTTTCAGTAACAATACCCCTTTGTTCATTTTGTCATTTTCAGTCATTTATTTTTAGAGCTTAAAAAATTGCTCAATATCAGTTTCAAAAACCTGACTCCTAAACAAACTAGTGATCAAAACAATAAAGAATGCCATATGGCTCCTACTAGTCTTGATGCTGTTATATTTCTGAAGAGTATATTCTGTGTTATTAATAATATTCAATGAAACACTCTCAGTGAGGGAAAATATTTACTGAAATTGTCATGAAATATATTTTTCATAGCATTCTAACGCAAGATGTTCTAGTCAGAATACCAGGAGTGTATCTTTTGGATTAATCCTTGCACACAATATGCTAGAAGAAGATGGATGCTGAGGCTGATATAAATTATTGAGGGGGGAAGAATATGCAGCAACCAAACTGTTTAAAGATTAACAGTATAATAATTTGTAATATACCCACTATTCATACAGCATGTGAAATTTCAGTTCCACTTCAGTAGAAAAGGGAAACTAAATTAAAAAAGATTGAATGCTAATTGATCTGAAAGCCTTTGATATAACTTATATGGAACCACATGGGTCAGAGGTCATATATAGGAATAAGGAATATGGCTGTGTTGTTTAAATCAGGATAATTTCAAGTCATATGCTTGCAAAGAATATGTCCTAAATTGTTTGTCCTAAAATATCCACATGGTTAAAATGTGAGTTCTATCTTGTCATGGTAGGAGAGGGAACAAGGAGGAAATCTATTCTTCAAAATTAAATGCTGTCAAGCTCTGATGTAGCTAGTAAGCAAGTTGCTGTAAACAGATGAGTATATACTGAAAGCTCAGTTACATCCCCTTGACAGAAGTGGGACCCTGTGCAAGTTCTGGAGTCTTTGTTGTCAAAGCAAGGCAAGGCATGAAGAAAATAAGAGCACTGATCTAATTTTCTCATTAGAAGGGCTTGTTTTCTGGATATAGAAATGAGCAAATAACCCACAGTCCTTCCAGCAGTCAGGTGGATGTGGCTGGCTGAACTAAAAATTGCAGGAGCTCACTAGACAGCTGCTGGTTTTTGGTTCATGTGGCTTCTGATGGTAGCAGGTAAGAGCAAGAAACTGTGCTTTCACATTTGATTGTTCTAACAGCTTAATTAGGACTGTCTAATCTTTTGACACTTCAAATGCCTTTTTTTATTTTTAAATCTGATTGTCTCTGAAGAAACTGGATTAAAAAACAAGGCTGTATGTATGTGCTGGCATTGTTTTTAATAACTTCTGACCTTGAATACATGAATATTTAAGGTTCCAAGATTTTTGTGCGGCCTTTTCTCCGTAAGCGAAACCGGAGATCCTCACAGATAGTATCCCATAGAAATGACATTTAAAAGCAAAAAACATACACAAAGCTTATCAGTGTTTGGGAGTTTATTGATGGTATTTTTAGACTTGTCTATCACTGAACTGTGTAAGGTTTAGGTTATTAGAATGAACTTCTGTTTTTAGAAATACCCTTGGCTTGTTTTGTCAGCCATTATTTGTTTTTTGAATCAATAAGAAACAATTAATTTAACATACTAGTGAATGTTAGTCTCTTTTCTGTTATTAGCCCTGTACCAATTTTCAAATGCATTGTCAGTATTTAGATAACGATGAATCAATTAACTTAAATATCAATATATCAATGCATGACTAATTTTAAGGGGATGACACTGTGCTTCCAGTTGAGTTTTGAAAGACTGTGATTTCATTGTGCTCTTCTTCTTGGAATAAAGTGCAGACCTGCAAAAAATACTTATAGAATTATACAATATCCTGAGTTGGAAAGGGCTCACAAGGATCATCCTGTCCAACTTCAAATTCTTAGAGAAGGTCCAGGTCACAAATTGAGTGCTCTTACAGAAATTTCAAGTTCTTCTGAAATAAAATGCTGTTTTTAAATACTGGTCTTTCAAAAGGTTCCTGTGTGATAATAACACCAGTCCAATGAGCTAAGCTTCCTACATTAGATTTACAGGTACTAATAGAGCAAAAGTAGTTTTCAAATAATGATTTTGAGCTGATACCCTGCTGACAGAGCTGGTTTTTATTCCTTGAAAGGGAAGCTTTTCTTAGCTAGCCTAGCTTATTGGAATGAGTTGTTGTTTTTAACTGTGAAAGCCGGTTGGTCAGCTCCAAGTCTTAAGGACTGGTGAATTTATTTTTTAGCATTGCTTGTCAGTTTTGTACCCTTTTACTTCTGCAAAGGATAAGCGTGGGCAGCTGCAGTGCAGTTATCTTCCAATCCACCCTTCTTCAATTTCAGAATTTGACTTGAAGATACCATGGTAGGACCTGTCTCTGTGTTTCTTTGCTCCCAGCTCTTTGATGTCTTTGAGGTTGTTATCCTAATTTCAATCTCAAAGCCCCATCCTAATTCCCACCTCTCTTGCCATGCAGCCTAGAAGCTCAAGCCTCCCACTGATTTCTGCTGTGGTTGGTTGTGGAGTGCTTAAAAAATCATTTTTTGAGAGGAGACTGATGAACCTTTTGAAGGCCATCATGAGGCTTTGGATAATAATTTGTTTTGATGATTAAAAATACCTGGATATATATGTGGCTGCATTATTTAATTACGAAACCACGGCTATTGTTTGGTATAGTGGGGAATACTGAAAATAAAGCAGTTAGCCTTGGGGGAGAAAAGACAACTTGAAAGAAGAGACTTGCAAAGGCTAGCACTTAATTGCCACAGTTACTCTGAATATATAAATTATTCTCTGTCCTAAACATGAAAGATTTTTATTGCACAATATTAAAGCTGCTGTTGGGAGAACTTCACAGAATTGGTCATAAAACACGCTACCATGTACCACTAGTCCAGACAAATGGCCTTCCCCGCCCTGATACTGCATTTATTGCTCAGGAATGTCACTGATAAAAAAGAAGCTGTCTTTGTTCTTGATGGCTGTTCCTGTGTGGTACCTTAACCATGTTATGTTTCATTTGTTCGCAGGGTAGCCCTCATTCCTTGAGAGTCCACCAGGTACTGGATGCTGTGGTGAACCATGGCAGCTGATGATAAGGTTGCCATTCTAACCGATGATGAAGAAGAACAGAAGAGAAAGTATGTGCTTGCTGATCCTTTTAATGGCATTTCCAAGGATCAAGACTTGCCACCCAATAATGAATCCCCTTCGACGGAGACAACCACGGTCCCAGACGAAGAGCTGGATTGGTTAGAAAAGCACTGTGTCAAAATAAACAACGATCTCCTGATCTCAAAGGTCTTTTATTTTTTCTTCTATTCTGCATATGGCTCTCTCTACCCCTTGCTACCCGTGTATTACAAGCAGCTGGGTATGTCACCCAGCCAGAGTGGACTTCTGGTGGGCATCAGGTACTTTATTGAGTTCTGCAGTGCTCCCTTCTGGGGAGTGGTGGCAGATCGCTTCAAGAAAGGCAAGATCGTCCTCTTGTTCTCGCTTTTGTGCTGGGTTTTATTTAACCTGGGGATTGGGTTTGTGAGACCAGCCACCTTAAGGTGTGTACCAAAGGGCCTTCCCCCAGCACACCCCACCAACGCAAGCAGCCTTTTGACAACAGTTTCCCAGAACACCTCGATGTCCTCTCTGCTAACAACAGTGAGTGCTGCATCCCCAAATGTTCGCAGGAAGAGAGACCTGCTCACTTCCAGTCCAGTCACTTTGGAAACAACAGGGACAGCTAATCCTGAAATAACATTCCTGTCACCTACACAGAGCAGCGATGTGGATTTTATCTTGGAAAACAGTACCCATTTGATTTTCAAAAACACCACCACTAGCCCAGCCTCACCAGGGAACGCAACTCCGAGTGCCACCCCAGCTGCCATCACCACAAAGCCAGCGCCTTCTGACCAAGCTGTGCTCGTTTATGATCAACAAGAAGTAGAGGCCATCTTCCTACTCATTCTGCTGGTTGTCATAATAGGAGAATTTTTCAGTGCTTCCTCTGTTACTATTGTGGACACCATAACTCTGCAGTACCTTGGCAAACACAGGGACCGGTATGGATTGCAGCGTATGTGGGGGTCTCTGGGCTGGGGGCTGGCCATGCTCTCCGTGGGAATTGGCATTGACTATACCCATACAGAAGTTAGCATTGAAGGTCAAGGATGTAAAGCTCCTGAGTACAAGAACTACAGGATTGTCTTCATTGTTTTTGGTGTCCTGATGACGATGGCGTTAATTGTGGCCACCCAGTTCCGGTTTCATTACGCGCACTTCAAGCAAGATGAAAATAAGAGAAAAGAGGTAGAAATCTCACAGGTAGACAGAAATGCCTCCAACGAATCCTCGGATAACACTCCTACCAGTATGAGCCAGTCGCAGTCTTTCAGTTTTTGGGACCTAATAAAACTGCTGTGTAGTATCCAGTACGGCTCCGTGCTCTTCGTGGCATGGTTCATGGGGTTTGGATATGGCTTTGTGTTCACCTTTCTCTACTGGCACTTGGAAGACCTGAATGGCACCACCACTCTCTTTGGAGTTTGTTCTGTGCTCAGTCACGTGTCTGAGCTCACTGCCTACTTCTTCAGCCACAAACTCATTGAACTGGTTGGTCACATCAGGTAAGATGGTCGCAATCATTAAAGAGCTGTACAAAAAATGGTGATTCTCAGGCTCAGCCTTGTGCTACAAAGTGAAATTCAAGCTAATCCTTTTTTTTTTCCCCTTAATTCCAAATCCTGTTCGGTTACGTGGCTCATGTGATGGAGTTTCTGTTATTTTAGGAGTTGAAAATGCTCTGACATGCTTCCTTTGTGTTTGAATTGCGTGTTCAGTATGTGCTTTATGCCTGGCATCCTAACCTCTTGCAGATGGTTCCAGGAGACATCCTAGTTCCCTGATGCAGTGCTGTGTTAGAGGTCTTTACACATTGCCACCCACTTAAGGGTTGTCTGTTTTGACATATAAATACCATTAATTTTTCAGGTTTTTTCCTGTGAGTAGCAGCATTCTGGACACCTCCTGCTTTAGCCTGCTTCCCCTTGCAGGGCAGTTCTTTGCCCCCACAGTAGCCTGGAAAGGTGTCAGTTGCAGGCTGAGAGGGGAGAAGGATGAGATGAGGAAATGAGGTGAGCACCTCCTGTGCACGTGGCCTGGTAATCAGACTCAGGGTGTTGGCAGAATGAGGTTGCAGCCTGGCAGTGTCACTTACCAGTTCAGGGCTTGCTCTGGTCCTTTAGTTGCAGCTACTGAAGCGAGATGGCTGCAGGGCTCCTCCTGTAGTTTTTGCCTTGTGTGAGTGAAACTGGCTGCTTCCAGAATGTTGTGAACCTTGTTTTCCACTAAATTCACAATTGACTTAATTTCCACATGTTTTAAATCTCTTCACGACTCTTTAAAAAAAGCTCAGGGGAGGAAAGCTGGGGGGGAGCTAAGTTGATGAAGTCATAAAGATGGGGTTTTTTATATTTACTGAGGTGCTTCGTGCAGCTGAGCACAGACTTCTGTGTGTTGTTAGCATCATACGCTTTCCAAATGCCCAGTTTATAATTGTACACTCATGGAATTGTAAGTATTTTTAAACTGTTTGCGCTCTTCTTTTTGTGCATTTTATTGTGTGGTTTTTCTCTTTGTTTTGCCTTTATTGGGATTAATTTTTTTATTCATTTGACCTCTACTAAAAGTGTTTGAGATGCTTAGCACAGTAATTTGAGAGATTACTTAAACAATGTGGGTTTTTTTCTTACTTTAAACTGAGGAGGAACTCTACTTTGAGTCAGTCTTCTAATCTCTGGATTTGACAATGATTAGTAACAGAAAATGGCATCTTGCATGCAAAGACTGGAGGAAGGACGTGATGACGGAGAAGTGGTGAGAAGAGATCACAGTCTTGATAGCTAAAGATAGCTTGGGTATGCTCTTTCAGTGTATATTGTTATAGTACAAAGTTCAGGCTTAGACTTCAACTGAAGAAAGAACAAAAACCAAAGAGCGGTATGGTTGTAAATAAGATGAAATGGAAGAGGTAGGAGTGTTGGCCAGTGAAAGGAAGGATGAGATATGGGATTAACTCTCCCTCTTTCCTTTTTTTTTTTCTCGCATTGTTAAGCCTATGAAGTCAAGACTGGATCGAGATTAAATTGTTCTGGTTCCTATTTGCCATGAAGCAGCATTCTTTATACCTACACCTGGGAAATGCACATTAGTCATATTTTAATGTTATCCAATGCTTACTTGTATTTAGTCATCACAGTTTGAGATATCTCCTCCTTGTTGTTTCTGTTCTTGTACTTTCTGAACCTCATAGAATGCATGAGGTTGAGAGGAGGCATATTCTCTGACAGTTCTGTACATGTCTTGACTGCTGCCTTGTAGTACAGGTATTCATCTTCCCATTAATAAGGACCAATAGCCTCCAACTATGTATCCTTCTTGGAACAGTCTTAGCTGAAGCATTTGGGATCGGTATTCTGTTGTTTGGGTGGGGTTTTTTTTTTGTTTAATAGCTCAAAATTCCTTTCTTCTGGGTTGTTAGACTGGATGTAGACAGTCTTTCTGCAGTATTTACTTGAACGTTTATCATTCAATCTTTCTTTCTCGTCCAAATTGTTTGAAGACAGGCCTGAGTATTAGAATTGCATGCACTGTCACAGTAGCAGAAAAAAGCTGTTGACTGTCCTTTATAGAACTAAAGAAAATAGTCTTTACACCTTATCAGACAGAAACTCAGTTTCCCTTTTTGAGCCTTGTGAAGCTTTCTGTTTCTACCATTGTATGTGTTGGCACATAAGACCCTTAAAACAGTCTGAAACCTATTCTGTTTTACAGGTTTTTTTAACTAACACATTATTGTCCAAGCATTTTAAGCATGACCATATTAAATGCGTGTTGATTTAAATGCCCAGTTTCTGACTTCACTAGCTCTGCTGTTCATACACTTGTTAACTGCACGTGTGCATATTTTGTACATGCTTCTAGTGTTTCTTTGAGAGGATATTAGGAATAAATTCTTTACTGTGAGGGTGGTGAGGCTAGAACAGGTTGCCAGACAAGCCCTGGATGCCCCATCCCTGGAAGTGTTCAAGGCCAGGCTGAATGGAGCTCTGAGCAACCTGGTCTAGTGAAACGTGTCCCTGCCTGTGGCAGGAGAGTTGGAGCTGGATGATCTTTAAGGTCCCTTCCAACCCAAATCATTCTATGATGTTATGATACTAGGACAGAAAAGTGTACAAACCTGGCTATCAAATATTTAGTCCCCATTGTTGAATGTCACCATGTAGAAACACTCAGAACTGCCAGTGACTTTAGGAAGATGATGTTAAGCTCTGAAAATAACCTCCTACTTGAGGTTAAGCTTGAATGTGTTTGTCTGACCGCAATTCCAGCATGTGTTTTTATGGGAAGTAGAGACTGGTAGTCATGGCTGTAAACAGCTTAGTCTCCTTAACTTAAATATAGATTCAGTGCTTTAAATGTTTAACGTGGAATTGAATATGGTGTCCCTATGGATACTTCATTTAGGGTTCATAAGGACAATCTCTTTACATTTTCCATGTAGGTCTGATAAAGAGTCTAAATGATTATTATAAATACATTTTTGAAAGGACTCTCTAAATACACAAAAATTTTTGTGACGTACCCCTCCAAAACCATAATTATAGAAATTTTCATAAACTGTAATTTACATGAAACTCTGTGCATATTCTGACAAATTAAGAGGCAGAAGTTGACTAAATTACCACTCTTAAACTTTGAATCCAAATCTTTCTGCAAATGTAACATGTCAGAAAAGCACAGGTAGGTGAGTGTGTTAGTAGTGATGGAGAAACTGAAGCAGAAGACCACTTCTCTGGTCTAGCTGTGATAGGGAACAGCTCAGATGGGAAGAAAGTTCGTGGTGAAAAGACAAAGTTTTTACTAGATAAAAGTGAAATTAAGCTGTTGAGAATAGGTCCTAAACAGAGCACTGGGCACATCTGTGCTGCTGAGGAGGAAAAACAAGTGTTATGAGTACAAGTATTTGTATCCCCAAGAATGTGCATCACTCTGGGCCTTTCTAGTAGGGGAATGAAGGCAGGACCCTGCAGACCTTACATGTTTGGTTACTTTTGTGGCCAGTGTGTCCTAACACACTTCAGAAATGTGGTTGTACATAAGAAGTACATTAAGTTGTGGCTACGAAAGGAACCAAGTTATTTGTTTGGAACAGAAGGCATTAATTAAAAGATGAGGTGAAATTTATGATGCATGGCACAAAGAACAAGTTTGTTCTCTTTACTGTATAATAGCAAACTTTTTCATGGCTTCCCATGTTTTCTTCCATGAATGCTTGGGCTTGTGTTGCCCAAAGGCAGCTTAAACCAGCTATTCGTGGACCTCACATGTATCTGGAAGCAGCAGAGCTTGGTTTGATGTGTGACTGGGTGGGGACAACTTCCTGCAAACTCACCCCACTTGTAGAAAGTAAATTCATGTTGTTGTGAAACACATGGACCTGTCTCTAGAATTTTGAATGTTTTTGATATCACTGACGTGATGAGAACTGTGCTACTGGTTTTTTTGCTGTCAACATGTGTATTTGTGTTAACAAGATGCTGCATTTTTGTGATTGTGTTTCACTCTAGATTTTCAGTGGCTCTGCACAATTGAATTAAATCTGTCTACCTTTCTAGAATAAATAACTAAAAAAGCAGCAGAAAGAATAATGAGCCCTTTCCCAGTGTCTGTGCTTCACCTTGATTATCAATTGGATTTATTTCACTTATGCTGAACCACGGGTCAACCAAGAAGCCGTGTTTGGACCATAAATTATCCTTGTCCCTGAAAAAAATCTTTAAAGATTGCAGTAGCATCTTTTCTCAGGCTGTAAACATGTTTTGAATTAAGTCTTTGTTTCCTAAGATCCATCTAAAAATAAGAGAAAGATAGCTGGATGAATGAGAACCCTGGAGGGAAGCTATGCTAAATGGGCAAACTGGAAGGGAAAAGTCATCAGGTTAAATGTACAGTGGGAAATGCACTGCACAAATAGTTTTTGTGTTTCATTGTTTAAAAACTGTTGTAAGAGCTTTTTTTCCTCCAAATTCTGAGATGCAGCATCTGCTGCTTTTCAACAGGATGGTTAAGTTTTATCCTGAGGCATGTTGTTATAAACCATATTGCTTCTGTGGGATGTGTTTTAGAGTAGTTCTGAGCAGCTCTCAGATACTGGGACTAAAAACTTATATTAATTGGGGTAAAATTAATTCCTTTAATACAAACCTGCTCCAGGCTTATATTGAAATGGCAGAATGAATCTCTGGATGATTAGAAAATAAGATTGTTTGGAAACGAATGCACTTAAAAATGGTCCCTCTGAAATACAATCCTGTGCAGAGCCTGGCATGGAACTACAGAGTTTAGTTAAAAGCTCAGTGGATCTGCTGTCTCTTTGATTTTATTTTTTTTTCCTATTAGGATTTTGAATATGTGTTTGGAGTGGGCAAGAGGAGAGTTTATGTTTGGGTGTAGGGCATAAGGATATATATTTTGTGTTGAGCAAATGCTTCAGACTGGCAAACTGCACACATGCAAATAACTTCTGAACCAGTAAGCTATATTATAACATGCCAGAAAGGGAAAGTGCAAACTGTCCTGACTTCTCTTTTCCTTACTTCCTTTAGAGTGCTTTACATTGGTCTTGCCTGTAATACAGCACGATATATCTACATCTCCTATCTGGAAAATGCCTGGACTGTTCTTCCGATGGAAGTACTTCAAGGTAAGACAGCTCAGTGATGACTTCCCAATATAATGTGGGGTGCTTCCATTTATCTTGTTTTTAAGTGAACTATACTTAAGTAAAAAATTCAGTATTTCTCTATTTTTTTGGCCACATGTGTCCCAGAAGACACATGTTCATAAAGCACATAAACCATTACTGTTTATCTTGGGAAATATTTGACGTCAAAAGGGAGGGTGTGCATTTGATTGTGCACAGTTCTCTGTTTATTCAAACAGGACTGTGTGAGACCAACACACCCTTAAACTAAACAAAGGGACTGCAAATCCTGTTTGGTGATAAATGTGAACTTCATTAAACGTGAAAGGTTGTGGTTCTTGAAAGGATGCCGTTAAAAAAACCCGAACGTAGTCTGAGTCGTTGTCTCTCTTGAAATATTTTGTAGTTTTTCAGTGGTATTGTTCAGTCAATACTTGTGAATTATAGATTTTTTTCTTTTAGAGAGGAATTTCTTTCAATAGCTTTCTTTGTGCTAATAGAGCTTCTCTAAGATAGTTGCCCTTTCACTGTCTTGTTTAGAAGGACAGAGGTGTGGTCTGTGAAAAGTAATTCGAGCCCTGTTGTCAAGTCCTGTTGTAGAAGAAGTCTGCAAGACCTTTGTTGCAGTGTTAAAGAATAAATTATTCTAACTTAGATTTTATGACCTTTTTTTTTTTTGTCTTTGGGGTGGGTACCACTTCTGAAAACCATGGAAAATTGTAACTATTTTACTTTCTGTTTCTTCAGTATTTGAAGAATACCATTTTTTTACCATCTTTTTTAAGCCAGTATTTTGGATTTGTACAATATGCTTAGAAGTTTTATTCTTCTATCTGCAGCACAAGTTTAATTTAAATATTTCTGTATTTACAGAAGTCTTTGTAAGATTTTAACCTGAGTTATAAAATGCCATTAGAGAGTGATATGTAGATCTCTATGTACACATAGAAAGAGATGTGTTTGTGTCCTGACTCCTTACCCTCCCAGTTAATAAAACAGTTTATCATATTAAAACTGCCACAACATCAAGCTTCTGAATTTTTTTATTAAAAAACTCTTGAACCACAACTATTGAATTGATACTTCAGTGTTCCTACCAAGTGTTAAAACAGGAAAATGTTACAAAGAACCTGAAGAGTGAATGTGTGTTATACTCTTGCCTGCTTAAACATCGAGGGAAAACAAATGATGAATACAAAGTTTTGGATGTTGCCTTCTAGGTAATCTTGTTTTAAAGATATCCCAACACAAAATATAGGGGAAAAAAACTGAGGTTTCAACAATACAGGCATATGCTTGTGCCTGGAAGCATCCTGTAAGTCATGGCTGGGAAAGAAGTTTCTTTTACTTTGAATGTGGTTTTTATTCTGCTGAAATTTCAATATGAATTGCACAATACGTAGGTTTGCCTTTACAGCAAGGCTGTGAGGGAGCTGTTCTGGTAGGGTTTTTGTGTGGCACAATCTTGAGTAATTGAAATTCGAAGAAAAAACTAAGGACCTTCCAAATAATCCTTTCTCATAAATGTATCTGCCAGACTTTATCATATTTAGCCACTGCTGAATCATGTACTCCTTGGTTAATCTGGCTATTTGCAGTTATTTACAGTCGGCAAATGAGAAAGTTCAAACCAAACCCACACACACACACAGACAACTTCCCCCCTCCAGCCCCCAGGTCTCTGTGTTCTGTGTGCACTTTCAGCCTGCAGCCAACCATCACTTGTTAGTGTCCACGAAGTCCACAGGTGCTCTGTATGTGTCTGACCACTGCCACTGCATTTGTTAGATTCCAGTCATCTCATTCAGTGTTGGCAAATGGGAGATCAAGGTTATCTTTTTAGAAGTACTGTTGACTTCCCTCCCCTTTTATTCATTTCCCTTCCTGCTCTTTCCAGTTTTCATCTGTTATTGATTCATTATTTCTTTTGCAGCAGTTCCAAATCCTGTTTCTTTGGGCTCTGCTCTTCTCTCTTACATAACCACTGAATATGTTGTTAGTGATAAGAAGTGACACCTTAATGAAATTTGGTGAGGTGGAAGCTCTTATTTTTAAGTGAGCTTGTTGACAGAGGGAAGTAATAGTTGTAGCTGCTTTCCCTATGTAAGGATTAGAAGTATTTAAAAAAAACAAAAAAAAAGAGCAGATTGTGCAGACCATGTGGGAACTACGTGGGCCACATGGCTGCATCAAGTTGATGGGCCTTTGAAATCCCTCAGTGAAGTCCTTGTTCTAATTGCACATAACTTTTTTCCAATAAGCTGTCAAAATCTATGTAAATTCCAGTTCCATCAGCTCAGGGGGTTTTAAAGCTAAAAAAAGTTTCAGCTGACTTCTGTAAAAAATTTATTTTTCTTTTTAATATGTTTCTGCAATACAAGCAGGATTATCCCCATGTGCTGTGCTGAAGGGCATGAGGCATTTCTGGAAGATGACTCCGCAGACTGCATGTATTGATTGTAATAGGAACCAAACTGTGTCTCAGCTGCTGTCTGTAGTGGGGATGGGGACAACTCCTTAAGTGCATTGCACTCTCAAAGGAGTAAATGAGGAGATTTAAACTCCCTTCTTAATTTAGAGTTTTGAACCACGATGCTGTATGGCACAGGCAATGTATGAAAAGAAGCGCTAAGGCCGAATCTGTAATAACTGTAAATTTCAAGTCATCCTCGTAGGCAAATATGTGCAGTGTATCTATCTGTGTCATCAGTCTGCAAGCACACAAGCAATCTTGTTCATTTTGCACCTAGAGATGAAGTTTTGTTACGCTAGTTAGCTGCAGCTTAGTGTTCCAGAGCACTGCTCTAGATTCTCTGGTAACAGCTCTGCTAGCACACCAATTTGCATAACAGGAATTTTCTAAATTACAAAACTGTACTGTTAACCTGAAAATTCGGTGTTTTCACTTGGCAGTTACTCAGCAAACTCCAAAACAAGTACTATTCTAAGAAGTGACTCCTACTGATGCTCCAGCAACACAGGGATGCCTAGAGAACAAAGAGCTTCAGCCTTTAGCTGGCAATAATTATGATACATATTTATCTTGAAATAAATTGGGATCCCAAAATCTTCAGTTCATGGTTTATATATAAATTATCCTAAATTTGTTGAACATTATAAGCATAACACTAGGATTGTTACACCGTTTGGAACTGTAGTCCAAATGATGAAATGGTGGTTAGTGGTTTTAGCAAATAATGTCACAATACATATGCTGTGAGCAACTTCTTTTAAAAAGAATTGTGGTTAGCAGTAATCTAGACCAGACTTCTAATACAAGTTGTTGTAAAAACTGTTCCAAATAGTCACTGTTGTATAAATAATTATAATAAAAATCACATTAGTAATGTACACATAATAAAAAAAAAAAAGGCCATGCCTTTAAAGACAAATGAAGTAAGCTAGCTTAAAGGTATGGACTTGTTTTCAGAGGAACTGGGAACACTATGTTCTAACTAGACTGCCTAGAAAAGGTGAAAACATCCAAGAACCTGTTGGTTAAGTTATGGCCTTTTGTGTTCAGACAAACTCAGTGGTATTATGCTTCACGGTTCAAATCATTTCTGATATGTTTTTGATTTGCCTGGCTTTAAACCTTGACTTACTCCTAATAGCTGATAAAACTGCATATTTTATGTTAATTGGTGTACTTTCTAAACCAAAACCACTTTATCTATTTAGATTAGCTTTGCCTTGTTATTGGGGCAGTTCTTGGTTGCTTTTTGCGATGTGGGCATGGAACTGCATTAAAAAAAAGTAGATACCCAGTGAGTTTTAAAACTCCTAAGTTTTTTTCAAGGAAAATCTGTGACTTTTGAAGCCTTAAACTTAAATGGTAAGGTAATATACACTCACCTTAATGCACACTTTTTGTTTTTCAACGAGGTGATGTACGATTACCAAAACACCCCCGTATCTCTCATCTTTACAAACTCAAGGCTTGAGAAATTTTGATTTGGAATGAGGTTGACCTGTACAGCACTTCATATAGTGCTATTTATCATTGTACACCTAAGCAAAATCCAAGTTATTTTGTGTGTTACAAAACTATGTTTTATTGCTCTTAAGAGTCTTCAGCCTAAATGCCAAAATAATTATTGAGTGTCCAACTGTTCACTTAATAACTGAAGCACAGGGGACAGAAGCACGTTGACTGAATCACCAGTTGTGCCAACATTTTTTTAAAGCCGAGGCAGTAGAGCTTAGGCATTGGTAAGCTGTGATGACTATTTTTAATACCTCTCAAATAAGAAAAAAACATTCCCACTCAATCTGAGGGTGGCAAAATAGTTCAGGCTTATTTTTAATGTGTGATGAACTACAAAACTGTTTTGTTTTTCCAGCTTCTGCACAATCCTGCCTTTCCCTGTCCAGTTATTCCCCAGTCCACAGAAGCCCCTCAGGCAGATGCTCAGAGGCGAGGGCTCCACCTGCAGCCAGTCTCTGCATGCTGAGGGTCATGTGCTGTCCTTCCCTTAGCTCTCCTGCAGGAGGGAAGGGTGTTCACAAACCTCAATGTGCCAGGCATGTGCTGGAAAGACACCTCCAGCATCTCTGCTGAGGAGCTGGGGCTGTCTCTGGTTCGTGGCTGTGGTTGATGAGCGAGGAGCCCCGGGCTCGGTCCCGGAGCGGGAGTGATGAGGCGGAGGCGGCGCAGTGCCCACGCAGGATGCAGGATGCAGTCACAGCGGGAGGGAGTGCTCGCCAGCTCTGCCTCTCAGCAGCAGGCGTGAAAAGCAACATCCTTGGCCTACTCTGAGGAGCTTGTGTGCTGTTCTCATCCGGACCGTTCAGTGCTAAATGCAGAGCGTGTTGGTGTTGAGTTCAGAAAGAGTTTGCTGGGAGGCGATGGGTTTTTGGGGGGAGTGAGAAGGGTAGGAGGGGATTCATTCTTGCTTGTGAAATGACAAAATGACGTAGATATCTCTGATACAAGTTTGGATTTTATGACCTTTGTGCTGCCTTCATTGTGGCAGTAAGGACACTGCTGAGAGATATAAATGGTTTAATTGCCTGCAGCTTGTGAAATCAGGACTGTATTCCAAAGGCCCTGGGCCGCTTCTGAAGGCAGAAGGAATCTGGCAGAGAGACTTGTCTTCCTATGGACTGTGTCTCAAGAAGAGTAGTGAGGTCATCTTAGAGGGAGAAAGAGCTATTGCCAGACTGCAGAAGGAGTTGTGCTGTCTCCCTGTGGCTTGGTTGCCAGTATCTCATCGCCAAACACTGATTTGTACTTCGCAGACATTTCTCAGGGGATTTTGTTTTTCTCCATGTGCTCCAGCTGATGAGTGCAGTGGCTCAGATGTTGTGTTGGGACACTCCGGGCCTGGTACTCTTGACAGTGTTTTATCTCTGCAGGTGTCACACACGCGGCTATATGGGCAGCTTGTATTTCGTACCTCAGCGCGGCTGTGCCTCCGGAGCTGAGGACGTCGGCCCAGGGAATCCTGCAGGGTCTCCACTTGGGTCTGGGTAGAGGATGTGGAGCCATGGTTGGAGGAGTTTTGGTCAATTACTTTGGTAAGGACAAACTGTATTGAAAAATTTCATTTTATTTATTTGGTTTTACTGAGCTATCGGCTTTAAACTTATTTATGTTTTAGGTATTGTTATACTTTAAAGTGTAGTACACTTTTTATGAATCACAGTCATAGAACTGCTCAGGCTGGAATCTCCAGGGTCCTGAAATCTCCAGTCCAGGCCCCTGATCAAAGCAAGGTCAGCACTGCATTCAGACCACGGTGCTTATGGCTTTGTCCTGTCAGTGTTGCAGGTTCATTAAATATGCCTAGATATCTTTAGTATTGTGAAAGCAAATCTCCAGCCTGATCCATAAGTAAGATGAATGAATCCTTTGTGAGAGAATAGGTTGATGCTGTAAAGCCTCTCGATGAACAAATGAGAATCTAATTACTTGGTTAAAAATCCTTTGCAAAAATACTTGGTTGAAGCAGTGTTGGGGGAGGAAAATGTAGCAAAACAAGCTAATAAGAGTCTACATGGGCAATATATAGCCAGGGAGCACATAATGCTGACTCACTTTATTAAGTAAGTAGGTTCTCAATTTAGAAAAAAAATACATCTCATTACAGGTCCTGCTGCCACATTCAGAGGAATAGGGATGGCTTGTTTAGTGATTCTGCTTCTGTTTGCCCTGATCCAGTGGCTGTTGGTTCCTGATGAAGAAGAAGGTAAATGTTCATGTCACTGAGACGCTACAAAACTAGAGCTAGTGGAAAAAGATCTCTCTGAAGCTGCTTCTGCAGCTTTCATTTTGTATGTTTGGTGTCTTGACTCAGATTTTAACAAAAGAGTTTGTTTTCAAGTGGGGAGTTTTTTCCTGAACAATGAAGAAACTGATGTGCTGCTGCTGTAAGAAGGGCAGCACAGCGTTCTTGAATGTTGATAGAAGGAAAACATGATGTATTTTTCTGCCTGTACATCCTCTCAGTTCTGGGAATCCCTTAGGTTGGTCTTTACAGCTGTACTGAGTCATTACAGTTGCATCCGTTCTTTAAGGTCACCTCGATCCCACTCTGTGCTCTCATGTTCTACCAGTTGAAGCCACCAGCCAGAAATTGTAGAGATGACTTTCACAGGACACAAACTTCTATGGGTTTCTTAAACCTGAGATATCCCCCCTCTGGTGGAACTTGAACTTTTTAATCTCTACCTTTATTAGTATAAAGGCTAACCAGAAATAAAATACTTGGTGCAAACTTAAGGAACTAGCATAAATAAGATTCTTACAAAGACAACAAAACTCTGGCAAGTTCTGAAAGGTCATGAATTTTTGATCTGTTTTTACCCAGATATTACTTTCCAGTATGAGCTTTGAGTATGACAAGGAAGTTTTTTTTTAGCTGAAATATTAAATTAATTCCCCTTGACTAGTTATCAAGTTCCCTGTACTGAAGTGTTCAAATATTTATTTTGCTAGTATTTCTTCACCTCTGCTCAAATAATAAGGGCAAAAAAATGGAAAGCGAAAGGGGTATTTGCTGCTTCAGTTTCCCATCAGCATTTACTTAATTACACGTGAACCTACAAAAGACCAGGGTGTTCATAGTGGCCTTATTCTGTTTGTTTCTGTCTTTGGGTTTCATTAAATTCTCGCTACCCATCTGAACAGTGTGTGTGTTAATTTTAAGCGTGACAGTAATTAGGCTGCTTTCACGCAGACCAGTTGGATGAGTAAAATGAAGCATGTGGTCAAGTGTGTGCAGGATTAGTCTCTTCATTTCTTTACTCCTAGGGAACACCCAGCTCTTGCTTAAAATATCCAGTACTATCTAGGCATTTGTAAACCAAATACGATTTTATAATTTTGAAAAAAAAAAAAAGTACTTTTAATTGGTAAAATATTTTTATTTGGAAAAATATTTTTTTCAAACTTTACATAATGTGTTGTTTACAGAGAGCATAGCTATTACTGAAAACATCCCTCAGTTTCTAACAATCTTCTTAATTACTTTTTGTATAGAAATACTCCGGCTCTCTGAAGCTTTAAAGCACATTGTATGGGGTCATGACAGTCGTTTTGTGAATGACATTTCAAGACAGTTATGAAAACTATTACAGTTTATTGGAAGACCTCAGATGTAAAGGTCTCTTTGGAGGATTTCTTCCTTTACCTGAAACTCTTTGACAGATACTTCGTCTCCTTCATTGTGTCACTATCCTTGTTCTTTTCTCATGAACTGTGTAACTCCATAGTAACTATGAAGGGATGTTATTTCCTTAACAAAAAAAGGTGGTGAAGATGCAGAAGAGTTTTTTCATTCAGATCAGTATGTTTAGAAGTTTTAAGATCAGTGATGATGATGTTGGCCGTGTCTCTTCACTGGCTTCCTGTTTTGAAGCCAGTGTTTAATTATGGGTATAGGTAAGTTGTAAGATGCAGGCTTTATGCAGAGAAAGACGTTTGCTACAAGTCTAGAAGACTTATTTTCAATTTGCATGTAACATGAAAATTACTTCTTCCAGGTAATGTGAAAACAGGAATTTCTAGTGGCTAGCTGAGAACAAAAGGACTGTTCCACACTCCTCAGCCCTCCAGTGTGGGCAGACATCTGACATCCCTCAGTGGCACAGCCCCTGAGCCTGTGAGGCAACAGCCACGTTGCATGTCCCTGACTAGACTGTGGTGTGTGGCTCCTGGCTGCTTTCAGGGTGGTGATGACCATAGTGTGAAAGCAAGAAACACTTTGTGTTCATTGTCTGCATCAGGGTTTTTTTTTTTTAGCTTGTTGGCCTTGCCAGTGATTATTTTGTTTTAAACTTCAGAAAAGACAATGCTGGCAGAAAGGATCCCAGTGCCTTCCAGTCCTGTTCCCATAGCAACTATTGACCTTGTACAACAGCAGTCGGAAGATATCATGCCTCGGACTGAGTCCAGACTTCCTCTAAAGAAAACTAAACACCAAGAAGAGCAGGAGGATGTGAACAAGCCTGCCTGGGGCATCAGCTCTTCTCCATGGGTCACCTTAGCTTATGCTGTCTACCAGATAAAAGAGATGGTTAAACTATCCAAAACCAATCCAGCTCCTGAGAATCAGCCTTTGCAGGTAATCTTTTAATGTGCAGGAAGCACTTTTTAGATGCTTGAACACTGTATAGCTATGTAAATCTGTTATTACCTGGAAGGTATTTTCTGTCAGCTTGTAATAAAGCTGGACTTGTGGCACAGTAGTTAAGATACTGCATGAAGTAGAGTTGTTTTCTATGTATAATACAGCAGGAATAACTATTTCTTGCAAGTTTTATCTTTCTGAAGATGGGAGGAGAGGAAGAGACATAGAAAGAGGCTTTGTTTTATGGACTCAGATATACTTGAATTCCCTTAAAATTTACATTTCTTTTCATATTAGTTGGAATGTGTGAGTTATGCATTTTGCAAAATTTACAATGTGATAATTGAACATGAAGATGCACAGCTGATTAACAGACTGTAAAATGATTTTTATTTAGTTTTGCTTCCTTGGGTGATGCTGTCAAACATCTGCATGGTTGCAGAAATAGGTGTTTCAGACAACTCCTGATGGGATACAGAGCCTTCTTTTCAAATAAAGTTCATCTCTTTTTTATCTAGAGTACCGCCACGTAAGAGCCATCTCAGATAAGACTTAACATGTCTGATGGCTGGTGCTTACTTTACACCATTCCCCTTCTGTCCAGTCTCGCCCAGGAAATGCTGTAATAGCTTCATCGGTGGCTGGATATGCTTGGATCTTGAACTTGTAATGCTCTGGCCCTGCCTTTCAGACTGGAGCTGAAGCAAAGTAGGGAAGCACTGTCCATGGAAGTTCTAGAACAGCATGGTCACTGTCAAAACCACTGTGTTTACTTGTCTGGAAGGAGTGGGTGAGGTTCTTTCTCATGCACCCGGTAGGCGTAAACACAGAAATGCTTCTTCCATAATTGCTGTCTTTAGAAATGGGTAATTTGGGATAAGAGTGTGAATCAGCAGAGCAGAGCGTGTAGGAATTTCACCTGGTCAGCGATCTCCTGCCTTCCTTACTTGACTTTATTCTTGAAAATATGTTACAGCCTTGTCTGCTTTAGGTTGGCTGGGTTTTTTGGTTGGTTTTGACCTTCCCAGAGTCAAAGAATGTGAGTTTTTTAGTAGTGATACTGAAGATATCAAAAGGTCTCATGATATCACAAGTGCATCAAAGTAATTTGCCCAGTTTAATTGCTCTGTTTCGCACTGTAAATGTCCTCAGGGTCTTGGTTAGTGTAAGCTGCCCCCTGATGAACCAGAGAAGTCACATAGAACGTAGGCAATTTACACTGCAGGAAAATACTGTTTTGCAGGTATGTGGTGTCTGAGAGTGACTTATCCAACACTACTGAACAGCACCCAGCCCCTTCCCTGAGAACTGTGAAGAGGCCAGAAGGGCTTTAGTGCCTGTTCTCTATGGCACATGATCTCTTCATTATTCTTTTCTTCTTGTAAAAATACAGTGCTGATATAAAAGCACTTCATGTGCCAAAATTTAATGCACCACATTGTATCATTTACTTCATCACCTCTATTCTCCAAAATCTCTTATCCCTGTTTCAGGTGCCCCAAGATTGCAGACTTGCTCCAGTATATTTCAGGTTTTGTACTCAGTCATTTATTTTAGGCTGATGATATTAAAATACTGAAACTAGGAAAAAAGGCTGCCCAGCTTTCTTATTAAATTTGTTAAATAGCTTCCTTAAAATGAAAATGAATCATTTGGAAGGAGGGTCAGTGCACAGAGAATTAGTGATGAAAATTATTCCTTCTTATTCCATTAAAATTTTGGATTGATTTTGCTTCCGCTTGCTTAGACTCCTTCAAACAAAGGGACATGCTGGCCATAATTTCTGTGCTTCAGTGCAAAACAAATAATCATAGGTAGTGTATCACCTTCTAATGAAATGTATTAGCACAAGCATTGGCTGTTTCAGTCCTGGGGAATGTAACCAGTGTTCAGATGTGCACATGTTCCCTGGTAAGGCCTGTTTGAAGAGATGGGATGGAATTGTACATCAGTACTGCAAATGTTCTGCCAAGTGAGACAGTCTGAGCACTATCTTGGGCGGGGAGGGACCTATTGAGAAAAGCTATATTTAAGGAGCATGAAAAAAAGTTATAGACTTGCTTGGTCAAAAGAATGATCTTGTCTAAACACTTTGAAGTCCAGTTTATTGTTTTTTTTCCCCTTGAAACACAACAAGTTTGTTTTTTGCATGCTTCTTGGGAAAGTGCAGTTAGGAAAAGAGATGGAAGGTAAGCTACTGTCTGCTTGCTATTACTGTCATCTGGATTTAAATATACTGTTCTTGCTTTGCTGCTTTAAGTTTGATTTGTTATGTTGCGGGCGTTCAAGTAAGTGCTTTGTGAATTTCCAGCAGTGCCTGAATGCATCGGGGGGGTGTGCCAGTGGGGACAGTGTCCTGGGTGCTTATGTTGACTTTTTCCATGCAATCCTTTCCCCTCTCTTTAGAAAATCAATGAGAATTGCAGTGCTTCATCAGCCAGCTCAGCAAGACAACCCCAAAATCCGACAGATTCTGGGCAGTCTGGAAATTGTTCAGCACCAACACCTACAGCAACATCAGATTCCCAAGTAGATGGCAGCCGTGTTGTGTCGGATCATGATGCTCAGCCTGCTGCTGCAGGGCCCTGAGATGCACTCATCTTATCAAATCCAGTGCATGGAATTCTGCTTCTCACCTGGGAAACGCTGGAGTAGGAGCTCAAAAGTAGGACTTCCTTCATCTTAACAATCATAATGTGATGCAGTGCAAGCTTTTAACTATATAAAGAATATTCATATGACTACACAGAGCAACATGAGCAGGGAAGCCAAAAGTTCAGAATTCTTGAGGGAAGTGATGTTGGCCAGATAGAATGGTAGGAAGAATTCTTGGCTGCTTTGCTAAAGCTGAGTCAAGTGCTATGAGATTTCTTTGCAATCTGTAGAAAAAAAAGGAGTTCACTCCTCACTTTCTGAGGCACAGAGTGTCTGACTTGATTGGGTAATTTTCTTCTTTGAACTTATTCCCAAATAAAAATGAAGAGACTTTTTAAGAGAGAAACTGAGTTTCCCTGAATAGTCTATTAGAAAATACCAGATCCAATAATTATAGAAGTGTCACAAAACTGTTTTTGTAAAGATTTCTCAGAAACAGAGTAGGTTTAGGAAGCGTATCTTAATGTTATGGTGACGGATTAAGTAAACCGCACACATATTCAAAGAATATGTTTTTGAAGCCGAATTTCTCTTGTTTGAGATAAAGGTTTAGTTCTGCAAAGCAAAGGTTTTGAACTGGCATTTTAGTGAAACACAAAAGCTGGAGGAAGGCTTCTGAAGTTACTCTCAGCACTTGCAGCCGTGCAGTTGGGCATAGGTTGTGTGTGTTTGGGCAATTTTAGGTTTGATGTTGTATTGAGACAAGAATCTTTGATCAAGATTGCACAGCCTGAGATTGATCAGGGGTTTTGATGGACATGCAGTCTTCTTGGGTTTTTATTTCATCATCTATACAAGGGTTTATTTAATGCAGTGTAGTTACTATTGTTATTTATTAAGAAAACAGTAAGCTTTAAGTGCCTAGGGAAGGTGGGGGGCGGTAGGGAGGAATCACCTTAAAATCTTAATGTTTAGAATTATAGGGGCAAAGTAGTTGATGCAGAAATCAAGTAGAGTGAGTCTCAGGAGGAAGCAAATGTAACTCAATTGCAGTATGTTTAGGAAGTTACTTTGCCCAATGTCACAACACTGGAGGACTTTGGATTATGTTTTGTTATGCTTCTCAATACTAACTGCAGCCAGCTTGCGTGCTGGTGCATGGTGAACATTGCTGCTGGAGGGAGATCCTCGGGCTCAGGGAGGAGTCAGGAGGGGTTTAGTCAGGATAGTGTTTTGGCCCATTTTCTTAGATTAACAGCTTGTTCCTGGGGGATTCTGAGCACTCAGCTCCCAAAGGACCGAGGGAGCCCTGCTCAGCTGCCCTCCTTGAAGTCACATGTGCGTGAGGTGTCAGGCCTTCCGTGAGGAAGGTGTGTGCTGTGGGAGTGTGCAGGGAGCCAGAGGCAAGGCCAGCAGACCAGGGGTAGGGAGAGGAAGATGGCAGCAGCTGAACAGGAAAGGGGGTGCACAGGTTCACCCACTCTGACATCTGGTGAGCTTGACTGAAGGGGTGTCCCGTAGCTGTGCTTTAGCTGTGCTTTTAGAACAACCCACGTTCTGGCAGTGCCTGGGACCAACACCACAGACAATAAAAAGAAACATCAATGACTAGCCACTAGTTACTTTTTTTGCACTTGAACCTAAATGTACTGTACTCACGTAAATCCTCATGACTTGTCTAAGTGTCCTTTAAAATAAGAAATGTATTTATTTTATGTTTGTATAAGTTGGGGGAGAACTAAAGACTGAACAGGTGACAGGAGAGAAGGATGCTAAAAATCATCTTGAGGCTAACCAACCATTTGTTGAGTTCATGCTGTACGGTGTTACCTCAGCTGCTACTGCATAGCACCTGGATTGTGAAGTGAAGAGCTTGTACACTGTGTTTACACTTCAGAATTGTGTATTTGAAATGCCTGCTCTTTTTGGAATTGTATAGTCATTCTATGTTGCAAAATGGACATGTACATCTGGATTTTGATATTTGTGGAACTCTAAAAACTGTGGTAAGAAATATAAAATATCCATAACATATTTAACAGTATCAACCTGAACTTTTATTTCATTTGCTCGTATTACAGCGTCAGCAGTGAACATAACCACCTGAACTGAAAACAATTCAATGATAATGTCAGTGGAGGATACTGAACCAAGAGCCTGGGAACTCCTGTGTTAAAGCAGTGTTTCATAATAAAATCTGACTGTAGGCACTAATTCCCTTCTATGGGTTGCAGGAATGTGAGGGATGCACACTCATGTGCATCACAAAGTGGCTGTTATGGAAGTGTGCAGGGCATCATTGTAAACACTGTGAAACAGAAGATAAATGTAGCATCCTTTGTTAAGGAAGAAAGGCTTTTTTAACAGGGCAGTGGATTAACATCTAGATTCTCTTCCCAGATTTTCTGGCTGAACAGTGGACAGTACTTAACAACTGTGTTTCAGTAAGCCTGTGTCATCTCCACAGATCACAGGAGCACTGTGCAAGTGAACTCACTGTCAGCAAAGGGCTTCAGTGACAGCAGCTGGTTTGGGTGGGTTTTGTTTATGAAATGCTTCCAGTGTTGGAACAGGCTTGTGAGGATTTTTAAGGTTAGTATTAGATATCCACTAAAGTAGCCATCATCTTTCCCATGTTGCTGCATTTCAGTAGTGCATGCGTTTAGTAGTTTCCTGCTCTACTTTGGATAGTATTCACCCATCCCTGCCAAATGATGGATCTCACAACTACACAAAACATGAGTTGATTTTAATTTCTTTTTAATTTTTCCTTGTTGAAGTAGGTGTACCTGGTATTGCTCTAAATAATTTAGAAAAAGGGACAGTGTCTGAAAACATGTAATTGCCTGAACTGGGGGGAGCTGTTCCATTTAATATATTGCTTAGGTAAAATACTACCTTGATGCATAATCTGGGCTATTGTATATAAATACATATTATGTACTTATACAAATATGTACTTATGTACCCCCATATTATGGAAGGAAAATCATTACCACCTCAGTAAAGAGAAGACATCCAGAAAAACTGTGTGTTTAAGCTTGGACAAATCTGATTCTCCCCCTTGACCTCAAATTGCATGGATGGGAGTTCTTGGCTAACTATGAAGTGCACTGAAAAAAACACCTGTGTACTTAAAAACCTGCAAAAAAACATTTAACAGTGACATCTCTTCAAGTATCCTTTGGATAATCTCTAATAATTTTAAGTACTCCATTTTCACAATGGTGACACAGACAAAGGTAAAATACATCTAATTTAGTCTACTATGCCATCAAAGATAATGAGGCTTTCCTCCATTTTTGCAACAGCTTGTTGCTAGTGCCAGAGCCTCCATCCAAGCCTGACTTCCCGAGTGTGGATGGCAATTTAGCTGTGGATTTGGTAGCAGCAGCCTCTCTTTAGGGGTGAGTCTTGCTGCTAGTGGCCTTCCTGAACAGAACTCCTACTCTGTTTTTGAATGTTATGGACTTAACAGTGAGTATATTTTGGATCACCTGCTTGACTGGGCTTCTGTCTGCTAAACATGCTATAGATTCTGCATAGGTCCTTACCCACTTATGGCACTAAAGCATGTGAGGTGTCTCTTTACTGTCAAGTGGACTGTTTGTTCCTTGTAAAATGAAGCAAGGTGAAGCAATATAAAGGAGGAAGAACCATGGAAGTAAGGCTTTTGAGCACCAACTCTGAGTCCTGTGTTATACAAAGGAGCTCTTGGAATATGGTATGGCTGCCACTTCTTAGCACTGTTAGAGGTAAGAGATTGTCTTCCTTGTGCAGCGATGGACAACGAGAAGCCAGGACAGCACATGCACTGCTGAAGTCACACTGCACCATGAGGCACGTTACAAAGAACAGGTATCTCTTCTAAAGCATATACATCCCAGTCTGACATACCCTTCTGGAGCACTGCTTCCTACTGCTGGCAATTCCTGGTGGGTTTGTAAGGTCAGACAGTGACAGAATTGATGGTCTTTTGTTTTCTGCGGTTTGGAAGACAGTAAAGGAAAACAGCAAGGTGAGAACGTAAGAATACAGGGATAGTCTAAAGAACAAAAGAAGGAAATTACCTCTGCAGGTGGATGAACTAAGGGCAGATGCTCTACTCCTCAGCCTAGGACTCTGTAATCCATAAGCTGAAAGATATTTGACTGCCTAAACTTCTCCCCCTGTTCTGTCTTCTCCTGCCCACACACCACCTGTGAGAAGTCCCACAGAGGGCTGAAGAAGGGGAGGTAGGAGCCAGGTATCATCCCTTGTTGTGCCAGGAATGACTTTCTGTTTCTTACTGAATGAGCAAACTACTGAGTACTCTGAGGGCAGTGGAGCTCTATGTGGTTTATCTTCATTCCTAATTACATGGTCACAGCAGCACTCTGGCCCTGCTGACAGCAGTTTCTCCAAGCAGCTGAAACAGTCTCAGCCTGTGTGGCCTTTCCTGGGCTGTTGAGAGGCCTGGAATGGGCAGAGCACCTGCCTGAGGTAAGGTGGCACTGAAACTGAAGGCAGTAGTAAAAATACCTTTGGGGATGAAAATCCTCTCCTAAATCATCTGCACTGTTAGAGATGGAGAAGCAGAGGGTTGAAGAGAGAGGTTTAGCAGAAGTATCCATAGAAGAGGGAAGAATAGTATGTAAATAAACAAAGACATGGAAAGAACAAAATGCAGTATTAACTAGAGCAGAGAACAAGAACGGAGCAATACAGGCAGAGAGTGAGAAGTCAGGCAGGGTTTTGAGTAAGGGGAGCTTAAAAATGGAGAGGCAGAGTGAAGGTAACAGACAGCAAGCCCAGCCAGAAGAGCAAACCAACCTCGTTCAACTGCATTAACTCTATGAAAAGTCTCACAATAAACACAGTTTATCGGCACTCTAATGGCATTAATAAAAGTGTTGACACATAGTGTACTTAATAAAAGCAGAGTATTAAAAACTGGTTCTTCTCCCTCTAGTGCTCAGCACAGAGGGCTTGAGGATGGAAAGAGACAAAACAGGTTCCCCGTTTCCTAGAGGTAGTATCCTTGGTAAAACAAGGCATCCTGGTGGGACAGGCTGCTGCCTGCCATGTTTGCTTCCCCAGTTAAAATACCAGTAGTATGAGATTCCTCTTCACTTGAACAGCCCCGATGGTTTCTCTGTTGCTCTAACCAGGTAACATCAGTGATACGAGAAATATTTTTTTAAAAAATCCTTGTTTGTCCACCAGCAACCACAAGAAATGGCCAAGTGGGAGTTCTCAGTCTGTATCCTTCCTTTCTAGGACAAACGTGTTTTCCCTCTCTTTTTTTTTTTTTCGTTATTTCCCAAAGCTCAGAGCAACTCAGCAGCATATGGAAATGAAATTTGTTTATGCCTTTCATCTTCATTCTCCTCATCTTCATGGATGGAATTGGCTGGATCATCCTGCTCAGGCTGTGCCCTTGTCTCAAAGAGCTGCTCCTCCAGGAAGGAGCTCCCAATGCCGTATTCCTCATCATGTGCCTTTGCTTCTGCAGGTGAGATGTGGGGAAATCCCAGAACAAAATCTGCAAACCTGCCAAATTTTTAAAGGGAGAAGTGATCAGCTGAGAAATTAAAAAAAAAAAAAAAACAAAAAACAAACCACAACTGTAAATGCTGGGGATACTGCTGTTTAAGCAGAAATGTTTTAAGGACATGCTTACAGGCAGTGCAGGTGAGGGGAAGTTGCAACAATGGATGGCAACGACCCTTCAGATTGATTTTCCTGCCTCATCTTTTCAGTCTTTTCTATAGAAGTAACTTTTGCTCTTCTGGAGGCCATCCTACAAGGTCTTGTGACTAAGAAAGAAGACCTAACTTCCATTTTCTCATCTTGTCAGTGCTAATGGGGTAATGCAGAGTAAGCATTTGTACAGTTGGATAGGTGGTACTTTAGCTTCTAAAAATAAATTAAAGCTTTAGCATATTTGAGACAAAGGCTGTAAGAATTCGAGTAAGTTGGTTTTGCTAATGAAAGGAAATATGGTGAGAACTCTGCATTCCTGTATTGCTGTGCAATCACCTTGCTTCTGGTGCTGCATGCACACTGTGGGCAAGCTGAGCTCCAGTCTTGCCAAAGGAATTCCTGGAGCTACAAGCTGGGAATTCTGCAGCTGCTCCAAGTAAATGCCAAAGCGGAGGTCTGGCAGAAGAAAGCTTAAAATCAGCACTGTCCCTACATTTCATTTGCCACAAATCCTACTTTCAGTGGACAACTCCACTGAAGAGAGAGAATGGAACTGGAGGTTTCTGGCAAGCGTGTGGGAACAGACGGCAGTTCTGACACCTGGGTAAGTGTCGACAGCATCAGAGGAATGTATGAAAGAGGATATGCAGCTACATTCTGGAGTTCTGGTAAACTGATCAATAATTTACATTTTAGACTTAACGTTTCTGTGAGATGAATGCTGTCACCTCGCTGTTCTTGGAACCTCTCTGTTAGTCTAAATGGGGAACAGCTTTGGGCTGGCTGGTTTACAGGTTTGCCTTGTGATGAACTGCTGTCTGATGCTTAATGGGAGCGTGACGGGGGACTCAGCTTCAAATCTTTTGGTTCTCCTTTTTATTTTTGTATTCTTAGCTAGTTAACAGTTTATAAGAATTGTATTAACAAAGTGATGTCTAGAAAATGCACGTCTCCATTGTTTGTTTTGCGCATTTGGCAGTATTTGGTTGTACAATACTGCAGTAAGCTTTCACTTTTTTATTTCTATCATGCTAGAGAATGCAAGCAGCTTAGGAAGTAAGACTGTTTAACTGTAAATCTATAAGATCTGGCAGAAAGGCTGTCTGCATGCCCATGCAAGGAAGATTAAGGTTCTGAAACTGGTTTTACCTGGTCACTGATGAAAATCCAAGCTGGCTGGAGCTCCTTTAAAATTGTGACACTTGGTTCTGTGGCAAGAACTAAGTCTTTGTGGCTGGCTAATATGTGAAATTCTGTTTCTGACATCTTAAGTTTTGGGTTTGATGGGAAAACACTGTTATGATGATTAATTTTATATTCTGCAAGCTTTTCTGGCTTCATTTGTCTGACCCTTCCTGA